TCAGTCATTCCACTGCTGGTTTTATGTTTCAGTATTTTCATGATATTTTTTATGAAATTATCGTTTCATTTAGCTGTACTAACATGATGGTGCGTGAATAAAGCTAATAAAACCTTGTAAAAAGATGATTTTTTTTTCATCAGGATCGAATTTATTTGTGACCCATGATCAAAGGTATACTTGGTGTTGTCGCCTGTCTTAGTTTTCGGGAGCGTTCCAAAAACACCCTGTATAATAAAAGAGTAAGAATATGTTAATTTCAACCCTTTAATTTTTATGATGGTTTGAAGTTAGTTACTTTACTTTACATATGTGCATTCAACATGGAACTTTATAACATCTCACGATTGTTAGAATTTTATTTTCAACATATCATTTAAAATTGTGAATAAAAAATGTTAACAATACTGAAAATCTTTCTTTTTGTCCCACAATTTATCGAGAGTATTTGGGTGAGGCTCACAAAAAATCTACTTCATCCATATTTTTTGTGAGCCGAATTTTGATTAAAGAAAAAAATATTTCGGAAGTTCCTAACAAATAAATCTTTTTGTTTCCTGTGTTGGATATTATTCACTTGTTAATATCAGGCCATTTAAATTGTTATGTTATTGAATTTAACCAAAAACAAGCAACAACAAGAAATTGCCAACTTATTGTTTCATAGAAAAATAAAATGTGTCAACATAATTAATAGAATCAGGCGTTACTTTGCGGAAATTCATTATATAAAAGCTTTTACAAAAATTTACTTCGCAAATATCCGCGTTATAAAATAAAATGATGTGTCTTACCTAGTACGAAGAGCACCTTCCGCCCTCCCTCAATTGCTTAAGAAAAGCTAAACTCGAGTACTAATATTACAAAAGACGAAGATTTTGAGCGAATGACCCCCGCTTCGAAAACGAATGCCTACATTAACCAAAATTTGCCTAATATACGTTCTGAAGAAAAGGAAAGAGTAAAACAAGCACTCCTTGAACATCACGTCATTTTGGAAAGTATAAAGGAGAGTTACAAAAGTAATATAATAATAACACTCAAGAAAAACGCATACTAAAAATGTTTTCAACAAAAATGATACCATAGATAGATACTGTAGCTAGTTATTTAGGCTTAAAAGGAAAAATTCGTCATACGCTACAGAAAAATAAAAGTTGTCTCATACAGTCCCAGTTGAGAGAATTTTATGAGAGGGATGATGTAAGCAGAATGACGGCAGGCAAAAATGAAATTAAAACACAAAAGAAACAGAAAAAACAGAGAAGGTATTTGCTTGGAATTTACATAAACTATATAAAAAATACAGACAAGAAGAAGGGAAGTTGTCATTTGCTACATTCAAAAGATACAGGCCCTTTTACGTATCACCCCCAAAAGCCGAAAAACGAGATACTTGCGCTTGCAAAAGACATGAAAATTTGAAAATGAAAGCCATGGTACTGCAGTCGATTGGATTAATAGCAACAAAAGATCTTGACGAATTATTGTGTATGGTTGTTTGTAATTTAAAATCTAAGGAATGTTCTTATGGAGAGTGTGAGTTGTGCAAAAATAAATATATCGACTTTACTATGGGTGACAAAAATCTAAATGATAACATTTCATGGGATGAATGGGTTTTGAAACCCTATGAATACAAACCGAAAAAAATAGTGATGTGACGAAGACTACGAAGAAAATCGATAAGGACAAAAAGATGGGTTCGTTAAGAATGCTACTAGATGCGTTTCAAGAAGAATTGCAAAATTTCAAAACCCATTCTTATAATATCTTCCATCAGTACAAAGAATATCGACGGTGTACAAAAAATTTGGATGATCGCACCATAGCATTACACATAGATTTTTCTGAAAATTATGCTTGTAAATTAAGCACTGAAATACAAGCAATGTATTTTGATGGATAGAGACAACAGATTAGTCGTTATACTGGTATTTTGTATACCACAAAAGGTAATAAATGGACAGGACCAGAGGCCATTTGGGCGCATCTCTTACCAGTACTGGAATTGATCAAACAGAAATTACCTAAGGTAAATGGGATTCATTTTTATTCAGATGGCCCTACTGTTCAGTACCGTCAAAAGAAAAACTTTTACTATTTCTCAAAACTAACAAAGGAACTCGGTTTTCCATTTTCAACATGGAACTTTTTCGAAGCCTCCAACGGCAAAAGAGCAGCTGATGGCGTAGGGGGAGCTATAAAACGTAAATTAAATTCATTTGTCGCTTATGGTTCGGACGTTCCTGATCCTAAAACAGCTTACAAACTTCTGCAAGCGTCTGAAACCAAAGTACAACTTTGTTATGTCCCTGAAGAAGCTATACTGAATGAATCAGTAGATCTCGTACCAGTCCCAAACACCATGAAAATCCTTCAAATTATTAACAACGTTGACTCAGCATACTCTATTTTCTACCGTTATCTAAGTTGTTTTTGCCAAAAGAGTAGACCAGGTTTTTGCGACTGTATTAATGTAAAATCTGCGAACTTACTAAAACAAACAGCAGTGAAAAACCAAAATACAATACCGCCCAAAAAGATGATTACAATATTATCAAACATAAAGAATACCGAGGAGAATAAGTGTTACTTCGATTTGACTAAATATGGCCCATTTAATTTTTAAGAAGTTAACCCTAATATTAAAATTGTTGCCACAACATCAAAAGAAAATGTTTCGCCATCTGTACATCACAAAATAAAAACAATCCGAAGAAAAGAAAGCTTACTAGCATTTACCGTACAACAACTAAGAAAAATAGGAAAAAGTATGAAAGCAGCACAGACGAAGACTTGTATTCTTTGTATGATTCTTCCGATGAAGAATATCACATTTCTGATAACGATGATTACTTTGATGACACATATTTTCAAATGAAAGAGCAGAACAATATATCAGATTTTAGAAAAAAAAACGGATTCAAATAAGGTGGAAAGAAAAAGAACTGAACAGTCAAGTAATGAAGTTGAAAAGAATGACACTTGGAGGAAAGTGACAAAAATAAGTCTTATGTCTAATGAAAATGAGGGAGTAATAAAAACAAAGGCTGAATCGGTGTTGGCTACAGCTCAGCATAATGATTTAAATGACTTTGACAGTTTAAAAAACGATTCGGAAGTGACATCGGATATTCAAGACACAAGCACTGAGGATTTCATTGTAAAACAAATTAAGATTACACAAAGCATTGAACGGTCAAAAGAATACTTTTTAGCTGCTAATAGCGACGAGGTTTATTTTGAGTAGGATATAATATGTTCAAAAATTATATTTTGTTTGATTGTATTATTATTTTTCTAATCATTTTCAAGTACAAATTTTGATCTTATTATTTGAATAATTAGTAATTAAGAAAAAATAAATAATGCTATGCAGCTTTATTTGTGAAGTTTTTGAATTTAAATAAATAAATTGGTCTATAAATATTTTATTTGAAATTCCATTATAATAAATAGTCTCGTGGTTTTTTTTATAGGATAGGGTGACAAACGAGCACACAGTCCACCTGATGGTAAGTGGATGTTGTGGCCCATAGACATCTAAATTTATCTTCAATAAAGAATCAAAATGCAGATGCGTTGTCACCCGTGAGGATTAAGGTGGAATGCCTTTTTTCCAGAGAGCGTGGTCCTTCCTCGGTCGAGCTTACCCATTCGTGCTACAACTATACTACTAATATAGCTGCAACATGGTTTCACCACGTATATAAATCGTGTGAACTAATCTTAACAATATTTCCAGTATGTTATCTATTTCCAATGTGTTATTGTGCGTTACAAGTTCCCGTGTGTGATGGTACATTTTCTGTGAGCCTTACCCATTTATGCCGATAATAAATAACACAGTTTTTTTTATTGTAATTTAGAAATCGACAAAATACTTAATAAAAATAATATAAAAGTAGTACCTATACAGAACAGTTATATAAAATATCTGTAGTTATGTATAGTTGCAGTAGTAGTTAATAAACTAGCTTCCAGGTACAATTTATGTTTGCTATTTTCTTTGTTGTTTGTCAATGTCAATCAGGGCAGGCAAAGGTCTTTGACCATACAGCCTGATCTGCTTATATTATTTATTGAGAAAATTCTTGACAATATGCTGATGCGACATATTATTGCAAAAACTGTTTCTCCATTTATTTTGGCTAATTTCGTTGTAGTATTTGGTACAGGTCTTTCAGCCATAGACTTACCTCCAAAAATAATACATTAAACGCTGGCTTTATAATACAATAAACAAAGTTAGCATAATAAAAGATTTCAATTACATATTCTATTTAGTATAATCTAATTCAGAAGACTGATTAGTAAAATAAAAAATATAATTGTTTTTATTATTTTGTCATAAGTATACTAAAAATCTTAATTTGATTATAAAGATTACAATTAAGCAATGAGGGCATTCACTATTGTTTTGCCCCCAGGGCGAGGATTTGGTATAAGTGTGGAGATGTTTTGATTTTTGAAATATTAGTTATTTTATATCAATTAGATTTAAAATAGATAAACAAAATTAAGGACATTCCTAAAAGTGGAATAATTAAATAAAGTTATACTACAATGTTACACTGGGACATTGCTTTGTGTATATAAATAAAAGTTGCGTTTAAAAGTTTTTATATATTAAAAACTTTTAAATGCAACTTTTCAATGATAATGACACTGTGTGACCATCTGGGTAACAAATTAGAAGTTCACCTATTTCTAATACCGGAACTTGTTATATTAGCTGTCTATGGTTGGATGTAGAAGTAGAACCGGAAACCGGAAAGCCATGTTTGCGTCATGTCATGGCTGGCATTCATTTGGCTTGATCTTGATTACTTTTCTTTTCTTGCAAAAGAGAGCTTGGTTTCTTTGCAAGTAGTGAATCCCGTCATTTTTGACTTTTATTTACATTTATGAGCGGTGCGATTTGCAGTGTTATAATAGGAATATGATGTCTAGTATCTGAAGTATGATTATTATTAAGATAAGGTTGTAGTTTCAAAATGAACGACGGAGACTGGATATGTAGCGATCCTAACTGCGGTAACATCAATTTCGCACGGCGAATATCTTGTTATCGCTGTAACAAGGAAAGACCAGATGGAGTGAAACCTTCTAAAAAGAAACTTGGCACTGAGATAGGCAAGTCTGCGGCTGAGAAATCCCGAGGTCTTTTTAATGCAGACGATTGGCAATGTAATAAGTGCGCGAATGTTAATTGGGCCCGGAGACAAACGTGTAATGTTTGTAATGCGCCTAAATTCGGTGAAGTACGCTTATTTTATACTATATAAATTTGTAGTATTTATTTAAAAAATATGTTTTAAAATAAAAGACCTTGATTGTAGGTTGAAGCTCGCACCGGCTACGGCGGAGGTTACAATGAGCGTGGTGTAGTGGAGTACCGGCGACGAGAACCATCATCTGATGACGAATATGATGAGTTTGGAAGAAAGAAACGGAAGCGCAAATTCGAGACACACGAAAAAGTATGTTTACTTTATTTTACCTTCCTTTTTTACATTTAACGCATCATCTCTTATGTAAAAGCCCTTCCATTTAGAGCACCCAGATAAGAGGCAGTCCTTAGTTTACATTTTTTATTACTTTTGGACTTTGTACTCGAAACACAGAATTATTAAAGGTTTGCAGGGGGTATTTTTGACTAAACATTTACAAAATCAAGCAGATAGTGGATTTTGAAGCTTGGAAGAATTGATGTTTTGTTATACATATGTGAAATATATTTTGAAGCACATCATTATTAAAGTGGAGATTATTTTTCCTGCCTTCAGGTTGGCATCACTGAAGGACCAGTAAACAAAAAGTTGCCACCCACTGTGCTGCAGAAGGAAAATAAGATGGATCATGTAATGCAAGTGCCACCTAATAAGATGTCATTGCATCAAAGTAAAGGACGAGAAAAAGTTAGTGGTAGCTTAAGTGATGGCTCTGTGTGCGATCTTCCTCCTCTTACTAAAGTTGCATTTCGGAGAAATCAACTTCATAATCAAACCAGTTATCACCGACAAGATCACATGTTGCCCAGTTTCAAGGCCAATGTAAATGGATCAAGGAAAAGATTTGCAAGTATAGGTGATAGAGATCAGACAGGATCATCAGGTTATGAGACAGGATCTAAGAAAAAAAATGAACTACCAGTTTTAAAAGCATACAACCCTGTTATGGAAAATAGAGTAACTTCTACAAACAATGATATTGTCTATAAGTTTACAGGTTCTACTCCTGCAGAAGACTTCCAGGTTACATATACTATTGAAGAAAGAGTAAGAGCTGCTGCATTTGCCATTGTGCACAACAATTGCAAAATAAGTACAACCAAATTTGAATCCCTATATGACAAACCAGCACCAGATTTTAAAACAATTTTTGCTTGGAGACAACGTCTTTTGTTAACTGGCTGTTTGGTTGATTCTCATTTAGAGGGATTTAAAAAAGAAACTCAAATGGAACAAACAATTTCTAAGAATGGTGTTTCTTTGAGTGAAAATGTATCACGAAAAAAGGTGACACAAATGTTACCAAATCCAGATGAGATTCCAATCCAAACAGACAGTGATGATGAAGGCTTAAAAAAATCTGAAACTGTAAATAAACCATGCTTACGGCAAAGAAGTTTGAGCACAGAAACTCTTTTGCTTGGCGATATGGATGGTAACATTAGAGCTGGTGGTTCTGTTAGCACTGAAGAACAAGAATCTCAGGTCAGAAGTCACTCAGCTTCTACACGACACAGGACCCGTTCTAGTTCTCGAGATAGTCAAGATTCTAATTATCCTGATACGGATTCTGAAAATATGGGAATTAAGAATACAAAGGTGAAGACTAAAAAAATTAATGTTGCTAGATCATCCATTCATGAGTCTGATTCCGACTCTATATCTTATAATAGTGACGATGGTGACTTTTTATCAAGAGTGTTTGAAGATGGAAGAAAAATCAGACGTAAAGCCAAGAGAGGATCTACTCCTATTTTAAACTCAAATGATTACTTACCTCATGAAATTAATAGTAGCTTTCAAGGATACAGTACTGTACAGCAATCTGAGCAATCTCCTTTGGTAACTGGAAATATTTATACATCAAATTTGCGTAATATGAATGTTAAAGCACAAGAATGTGTTGTTTTGGATACTGATGGTTGTTCAAGTGAATATGTGCCCACAAGATTAGGTTCGACAGCTAAGAAAAATTACCAAGAATTTAGAGATAGTGTAAAGAAAAAGGGTTACTGGGCTAAAGGAAATGGAACAAGCCTTGGAACAAACAAAACATCAACATTAACTTCAGTTACACTTCCTTCTGCAAGAAGTGTACCAAAGCCTACACAAGAAACATATTACACAGAAAGTACTGGGTATGTTTCAGCTCCTATAACAAGTCGTTCTGAAGATTTCACTAAAGATGAATTTGATAATTTTTCATCAATTGATCACTACACACCTTTTGATAAACCAATGAAAATGACACCTAGGATGGAGGTAACTCCAGAAAATAGTGCAAAAATTTTTGATTTGGTACAGTCAAATTCTGCTTCGAAGAAACGAAGCATAATGGATATCTTTAGCACAGGCGATCAATTAAATCACAGTCCTGAAAGAGATAATGATCTGGCAAAATATGCTGATGTACATAAAATGTACGAGACTGAATGGGATGAGGATGACGATGCTCTCTACAAAAATACTGATACTATTGAAATATTTTCGACCAAACAGCATACACCTTCTTCACCAAGCATTGGTTCTCTTAGAGCTCAAAGCCCAACATCTAAAATGCTGTATACTACAGATTCCGAATTAGTACAAAAAACTAGTAAATCAAATGACGTAAACATAGATTTCATCAAGGATAGGCGTGATATGTTATTAGACCTGTTGAAAGACTTTCAAAAAGGCAAAGAACAACATATAAGTGAAAATGATTTAATGCAAACACAATTGTCATTAACAGAAAAAAATCCTAAAGATTCTAACTATATTTTTAATCATACAGATTCAAAAGTACCAAACCATTTAAAGATTAATCAAATAGATCCTCAACCAAAAGAAATAACAAATGACATAATGAATAATATATTAACTGAAGCAACAACTAAAACCATTTCTCAAGAATTGCCGAAAACAATAAGTCCTTCTAAGCGTGTACATGTTTTAGAAACAATTACTATTAAATCTAACACAAACCAAAAGTTTCCATTGGATGTCTCACAAAATTCTATGCAGAATAGTTCTATTGAAAAGCAAACATATAATGACAGTCATACATTTATAAAATCTTCATCACAAGATACCAATAAACAATGTGATGTTCCAAAAGAACCAGAAAATTCTACTCCAAAAATTGGTCAAATAGATGTTTCAAATTTATTAGCTAGTATCAATACCAATACATTATTACTGGCACTTCAGAATTTGCAGCAGATGCAATCTAGTAGTAGTGACACTAGCAAACAAACTGAAACGTTAGTCTCAGAGAAAAATAATATTACTGAAACCAATATAACAGAAAATGACGTGCAACATGTAGAAACAATTAACTTGACTAATGATGAGGATTGGGAAAAAGAGTCAAATAGGGATGGTAGCATAGAAAGGCAATTAGAAAAACTAGATGGAAATTCAGGTGATACACCTTTTTTAAGTGACATTTTTGATCCTGGCCCTGTTGTAATGCCTACAAATATGGCCAAGAAGCTAAATATAAATTTGAAATTACCTGAATTAAATAAGACCCAAGACCCAGCACCACATGTCAATGAAAATGCACCTGTGATAGGTAATTTTAAAAGTTTCGCACTACCTAAACCAATATTGTTAAATAGGCTTAAATTAGCTGTTAAACCATCAGAGAAACATGTAAAAAAACCCAGCGATGGGAAGAAGAAAAAGCGAAAAAATCAGGTCTGTATACATTTTTTTTATTGTGATATCAATAATGTGATATAACAGTTACATGTATTCATTTGTGCATTTTTCTGCAGGGCAAAGCATCTGCATCACAAGATGAGGAAGCAGCAGAGGAAGACGACGAGGAGGAATCAGGGGATGATGCGGATCTTTCTAAGTATGATCTGTGGGGCAGTGATGGGGAACAGGGCACCTCCTCAAATTTGGGTTAGCATTTAGATTAGTAAATAGTATGTCATTTATATAAGTTATTACATAAAAAATTTATAGTGACAAGATTGGTTCTTCTCTATCTCTTATGTGTTGTACCAAGAAAATAACTAGTAAATCACATATCATTTAATTGTTGAAGTAATAATTTACACCAAGACAAAAAATTCTAAATTAGTTACAGGGAAATTTGGGATGGGATATGTATAATCATCTCTAATCATCTATTCCCCCTAGAAAAACTCACAGGAATTAAGTGAACAACTACAACCTGAAAGGCAGCTTTTTATATCAGTATACAGATTATTTATAAGTAGTTGGTCCATTTAATACTTTGTGAAATACACTACAGGAACAATTATGCTGTTGATATATCCATTAATTTCTCCTTCATTATTATGCTACATAGGTGAATTGAAACCTAAGCAAAACATGATTCTCTCCCATACAAATATGTATGTCTATAATACTTAGTTATTTTGCAATAATAATAATAATAGTTTCTTTATTTGCTTAAAACATAGTATTTGTACAGTAAAATAACTACACATGTTTTGCTTATAATTAACATGCAAATTTAAGTTTATGTTACATATATTTCAAGTTACATTTATTTCAAAAAGGGTCAAATACATTCATAAAATCAATATCGACAAATCAATAATTATTAAAGCCTAAGGTCAATAAATTCTTTAATGTCATACACTTTTAGTTCAATAAGCCACTTATATAGTCTCAATTTAAATAAATTCATTTTGATGTTATTGGGCATCTTATTATATATCTTAACACACATTGCTAAACAACTTTTCCTGAATTTAGCAGATCTCAGTGCTGGCAGTATTTTTTTATAATATGTTCTTATAATATGAAACATATATACATATATATAATGTTATACATACACATATACTACTTCCCATTGTCCGGTACTTCAATTTTTCCTTAACCATACGGTTATCTGAAAGTGATCACTCATTAGTGATTAGACAGCCTTATTGTACCTACCTCCTTTTTTTTGTAATCTTTTTTTCGTTTTATAGTATTCAATAAAATCTACAATACAATAAAATTCAAGTAAAGATTTGCATTCAAGTAAATAATTGTAATGCTTGTCAGACTGTTAGCAATTACAGTATCATGCATCTTTCACACTTCCTCATTGCCGGCAAGTTTATTTGTATATCTGTCCCGATATGGTTGTACCAGCATCTATTGAAGACCACAAGATATTTTAGAAATTACCCTCTACCCTTTAACGACACTCATCTGGTGAGATTGGGGTGGTGGGTTTTTGAGGTGCTACAAGATATCAATACCATGGGCTCTATTGGTGTTTGCTTTGAAGTATTTCTATTAAGTAAAAAAAGGACTAATTTTTTATGAGCTTAAATATTCCAAACATTATATTATTTATAATTTATTCTCAGAAAATTCAGAAAAAACCAAAGACAAGGACGACACTAAAGAAGGAGAAGGACTGGAACAGACACAAAAAAATGGGAAAACTAATTCCCCCGATGCTAAGAGTACTAGCAGTAGAAAGAGGTAATATTTCTTTATAATACATTATTTTTACTTTTATTGGCACATGCTAATTTTTACACCAACTTCAGGTCCTGCAGTTCCTCATCCTCATCAAGCTCTTCTTCAAGTTCCAGCTCTAGTCACAGTTCGACACAAACACCTAAAAACAAGTATGTTTTTATATTTTTTTACATTATTATTTGTCACCCATATTAAAAATATATATTTCTGAAATGAGAACTTTAAACACGCTATGCAGTTATGACTATCTAAATAAACAATGAATCCACCTATCAGCCAGCCATCGGCTGTCCGACATTAAACATGGTCCGGTTTGGATAATGGGAATAATTTTTTTATTATTCTTTTTATAATTGCTACACATGGTAAGCAGATTGGTGAATAAATGTCGTTTATTCACCAATCTGCTTGTGTGTCGAGTCCCCGGCACTGCAGAAAAGTGATTAGCATCTGCACTATTGAACTGAAAAACACTTTGTATTTCCATTTAGCTTTTATATGTAAATTTGATGTTGTATTGTCCCTGCAGATTTGATGACTTTAACTTGAATAGCGAACGCGAGGGATCTCCAAAGCGGCGTAAATCGAGATCACGTTCTCGGTCGCCGCGTTCTCGATCGGCCACGTCGGGGACGAGGCGTAAATCAAGGGATAGCCGATCTGCTGGCGAATCAAGGTACAGTTTTTTTCAGTATGTAATCAATATTTCAATTAGTACAAGTTGTAACAAGTCCATTATGGAAAATTGGCCTCTTCAAAATACAAAGGAAAATACATTCATTGATCCTATGCCAAATAAATTAACCGTATGTGATTAAATTTCTATATTTTTAAATTTCATCATTTACATTTTTAATGAATACACAAAAAAATGTAATTACTAAAAACAAATGTCAGATGATCAAAAATCAGTCTGAGCAGCTTATGTCGTGATCTTCAACAAGTAGGGTTGCCGCCCCCAATATTGCCTACAACCCTTTCATACAGTTCCTTTATTGTTTGTTTTGCAATGTCAGCACCACATCTCACTTAACTTCCACTACAGAAACTTGATACAAAAAATAACTATAAGTGCAAATCAGCAGCAAAGTTATAATGTATGATACATTAATATTTGAACAGCTCCATAATAATCGTAGCCCATTCAGCCAAGTTCACTGCTGAACAATAGGTCTCCTTCAAAACTACAAGTCCGCAAAGACAAAGCACGGAAGCACAATTAAAGTTTCGTCGCACACGGTTAACGTCTTAACCTAAATGTGTATATATTATTTTATTCGGTTTTCGGACATGAAAAAAAATTTAATTGTCTATATTTCTCAATTCATACCATATAAAATTTATAGCTTTCTGCTACTCTAGTTGTTGCCTATATGTTATTAGAAAAATATACAGGGTTATTTTTCAAAGAGTAGCCAAATTTCAAACTAAAGTTCAAAAAACAGTATATCATTATTTATATATTATGTAAATAATGATATACTTACTGTTTTTTTTTTACTTTTATTTTAAATTATCCCAAATTTAATGTGACTTACGAATGTGCGCGTGCGCAGTAAAATCAATTAAAATAATGCATTACTATGCATTATGAATTTAAAAGATAAAATGGACAGAATAAAATATTTCACATTTTTTTAAACTAATTGTTCTTCACCATTTGCCTATATTATTTATCCTGAACCTTCTCTGGAAATTTGGCCGGTTATTGCAAATTAAACCTGTATTTTAGTATCTACACTAATATATAGAAACTCCGAGCATAGTCCCCTCCTTTGCTCGCCAAGTGAGCTTGGTATTCCTCATCCGGTCAGATGAGGCCATGACGCATTATGAGTATAGCAAATAAATAGCAATAAATTTGTATTGCGTTAGTCTATTATTTCTTCCCACAATTATTTTTGTATCTGCAAGGTTTCCTATTCAACTTATTTAAAAAATATCAATTATGTATCTCAATAATTCATGGTTAGTAATTTCTTGTAACTTGTATCAAGGCTTGATTCAAAATACAAAAAAATATCATGACAGGCACTACAAAAAATCACGCAACGTACATGGCGGTAATTGATAATTGTGGTTACCTTAGGTAGTACTACTACTCCCAGGTCCAAAGATAGAGAGAGCAGTACTGCTATCTTCTCTCTCTATCTTTGGACTTTCACTTGACCATTACATTTTGGGACAATCTGTATATTGTATTATATTGGATTAATTTGTTTTGTTATAAAATAATTTACCATGCATTTTTAATGTCTACAGAAGTCACGAATCGACCCGGGACAAAGAACGGTCCCGAGATCGAGACCGTCGGGACAGATCTCGGGGGAATCGCGACGATAGAAAAGAGCGTCGCTACAGTCGTGACGGACCTAGCAATCATTACGGTGCCCGAGGTAGACATCGTTAAAATATTTAGCTGTGAAAAGTATTGTATATTAGATGCCAATCAATGGACTTGGAACCTATTGCTAAATTAATAATAACTTGACGTAGAGGAAATCTTATTATTATGATGGAAGATATAAACCATTTTTACAGCCTATATGTGTTGAAAATCAATATTGAAAACCTGGTGTCAGCCTCAGTAAGGCCTATTGGTTCTGAGGTAGGCACAGATTTATTTCGACAGTTAGATAAAAGGTGAATTAAAATCGAAACAAGTTTAGCATAAGTAAATTTTTGAAATAACGTATCATGGATCTAAAATATAATAAATCAATAGTTTCATAAGCATACAAAATTGTAGTCTGTGATCTTCACTATTCTTAAAAATTATGTGAAATATTGCTGTTAGGTTTGTGAAATACGATGTAAATTAAAAAAAAATCACAAATTTCTATTTGTGTAATAGGTTATTAATATGAATAGAACAGCAATTTAATATTTGGCCTTTTAAAACACCATGGTATAATATTATAATGTATTCTATACTACCGAGTAAAAAGTTTACTCAGTAAGCAAGAAACATAATTAAAACTAAACTGTAGGTGTGCTTCCTTTTTAATTTTTTTATTTACATCCTTTTGTCTACTTAAAATGTTTGATAAGCAGGCTTAGCCAGGTTGACTTTTTAACTATTTTAACCGACTTCAAAAAGGAAGAGGTTCTTAATTCGACTGTATTTTTTATGTGTGTATAACTTTTTTATAGGTGAACTGATTTTGATGATTCTGTTTTTATTGGAAAGCTGGTGCTTCTCATCTGGTCCTATATGAATCTGATCAAGATCTGACCAGTAGTTTTTGAGTTATCCTTAATAATGCGTATTTAATTGACGACTACATTGATGGTGTTCTCATTTCCTACCGACTTCAAAAAAGAGGAGGTACTCAATTCTACTGTATGTTTTTTATGTGTTACCTATAACTTTTTTCTGGGTAACTGATTTCTGATTCTTTTTTTATTTGAAAGCTGGTACTTCACATGTAGTCCCATATAAGTTTGATCAAGGTCTCACTAATAGTTTTTGAGTTATTCTTAATAATTAGCATTGATGTCGGTTGCACAAAATTTTTAATTATTATTTATATTGAAGTTGGTTGTGCAAAATTTTTAATTTTACCACTTTTTAACTATAAATTTTTTTTGAAATATAAACTTTTCAACGTTAAGTCTTAGTAAGACTAATTCATGATTGTAGAAAATCTACTTGGCTAAGTCCGCTGACCTATCTTGTGCTAATTCATTACACAGTGTAAGTCAGTCAAGACATAACTTGAAATAATCGACAGTGATTTGCGAAATGGTCATAAAATGTTGTATGACCATATATACATACCTGAAATTTTTGAATTGCTTTTAACTTAAAAATAGGCGACCATTTCTTAATTTTGCAATGTATTTTTATGAGTCTTTTGCAAGCAGGCAAAAATGCTGTTAATCCTATGTACATTGCCAGAATATTTGTATTTAGTTTTATTTTGTAACTTTATAATTAGTGTCATTTTATGACTATAATAATATCTATTTGAAAATTAATTGAATATATAGATTGAAGTCCGACTTGCTGATTTGGTTTTGATTTTAAAACGCCTCTTGTACTCATGTGGTTATACGCCAGGTACATTTACAAATATTTTGGCAGCAAAAGTTAGTAAAAAAATTAGGTTTAAATTAGGGCTCCTCTTGGCGATTTGCAAGTAAATGATGAAATACTTCTTTGAATGTCTGATTTATTATTAAAGTTTTCTGTCTCGTTATATTGGAGCTGTTTGCAAACTTTGATCATGAACCCTATTTAAGCGTTAACATAATTCTGTATCAAAGTAACACCGTCGTAGTGATTTCTTCATCGTATATCACGTCGTTATATCTTTGTCATTATGTACTATGTATATTATGACTAGATTTTATAATGGTCAATAGAAAAGTTACATTTTCAATTATTTGTAGTAATAATTATATATTACTAATTATAGAAATACTGCAGCCGTATATTTCAAGGAAATTTTATCATAATATTATTGTGTAAATATTAGATATATATGTGGCTTTATGTGGTTTAAGTAAAGGTGTGTTTTATTTTTCTCATTGAAGCACTTGAATGTAAAAGACGATTTTGTTATTTGTTTAGTCTTAAAACGTCTTAAGTGATACTTATTGTGTAAGGTACAACAACTGTATGGTAATTGATTTACCAATAAATTCAAAACGAAAACTTATGATTTTTATTTTTTTATATGTGACACTATTATAAAATAAAAAAATGTGATTTAATAACATACAGTAGAAACGGGTGTATACATAAAAATACATAATTTGGATTGTATAAAAAAGTTATAAACAATAATATATCTGGAACACTGCTTTACCTTCAGTTCTTCGTAACACGATCTGTGGAGTTAATTAGTGTGTTGCTTAAAATATTCATGCTCTTTACTAGCTCCAGCTCGTACACTGGCAACTGCTGAACATAGGTCTCTTTTGTTATAGTTGCCACGCTTGGCAGGCGGGTTGGTAACCGAGTAAGAGATTCGCTTAATCTTTACGCTTCACAAGAGGACTGGCGGTAGCAGCTAATGTATTTTTTTTTATATAGTATAGGGTAACAAACGAGCACACAGTCCACCTAATGGTAAGTGGTTGCTGTGGCCCATAGACATCTACATCTATCCTCGTTTACGAATCAAAATGCAGATGCGTTGCCACCCGTGGGGACTAAGATGGAATGCCTCGTTTCCAGTAAAAAGGGTCTCCGGTTGTCTACACTCACCATACGATACACAGCAGTGTTAAGCTGCTATTTGACGCTGGTATTCTGTGAGAGCGTGGTCCATCCCCGGTCGAGTCGACCCATGCTTGCTACAACTATACTACTAATATAGCTGTAGCGTGGCTCTACCACGTATATTTGAATAAACTACTATTGTTTCCACCAAATCTAAGAAATACTTTTTGACAGCTGTCACATTTATTGGACTAGGCATTCCAACTGAAAAATCAGTACCTATAAAATTCGATTCTTATGAGAAATCTATAACATAGGTAAATATAATCATTTACATTTTTATCTAGATTAATACCCGAATAAATTAGAAACAGATACCTCAAAACCATGACGCCGCGGTAGCTCAGAGGCTTTGCGCTCGGTGTATGCGAGCAATCCGGGTATGATCCCCACTGGCATCAATGAAATTGTTAATTGCAATTTTAAGTGCCGATTTCACCACATGCTCGGCGGTGAAGGAAAACATTGTGAGGAAACCTGAATTTCTGAGAAACAAGAAATATTTCGAGGACATGTGAAGTCCGCCAATTAGGGAAGCACGGCTGACACTTGTTGGAAATTATGACGCGCCCACCTTTTCCCACGGGCACGTCGTCTGTCCATATTTGCGGCACGGTGCGGTTGGCGTGTAGCCATGTTATATCAACGAATATAAGTTGTCCAAATTAGTTATATTTTTAATTACTTACTCGTAAAAACTTCGTCTTTAAATAATTATTTTGCGTTTATCAATTATTCTGTATCGAAGCAAATTCCTTTTCAAATGGTTCCCAATGACTAACCTTGTAGTTCTATACTATTATTGTACAAGCCGACATCTTCTAAACTTACTCGCAACTTTACCACAGAGGGATACACAGAAATTATAAAAAAATAGACTTGCTTAATTCATGATTCATATAATTTATGCAACTCTCAAAATAAATATTTAAATAAACAAAATAAAATGTAAAGGTTCGATTATTTGAATAATTTTAGCGATTATTCGCATTAACATGAATTTGAATCATCCAAACCAGGTCAGGTTACACATAACAACATATTGAAACAACGTCAAGCAAAAAAGTTGATTCTGGTTATTTTTTTATATTTTGCTTTGTTTGAAAGATTTGAATTTAAACTAATGCAAAACTAAAACAAAGAACTATACATGTAATGAAATATTTACAACATGTATAGGTTATTTTAAATCGTGTGAGTACACGCTTGTACAAAGTTATTGCGGAATGATTAATGTGAAACGTCAAAAGGTATTTCTTAGATTTGGTGGAGTAACATAATCGAAATGAAGCCTTAATCTAAAATAGTCTAGTCTATATAATAGCCTACAATAATAAGAAACTGGACTATTATAATAAACCTGTATCAGGTGTAGATATGTTCTCCCAGATACTCTATCAAGTATTTTCTGTTTCTTATATAAAATGAATAACTTACCTAATAATACATTTTAATGACATTATCATTAAAATGTATTATCATAAATTAACTTAAAAACAAGCAGCAACTTTTCCGTATCATTGGAGACGTTCGAGGGAAGAACAAAAAAAACTGAGCGCTACCACGTACATTTCAGTGACAGGTGTATATAGATATATAGTAAGGACACGCACTCACGTACACATATGCACCTATACAATAATTTACAACCAATAATATGGTTTTAACTGGGAGCTCACAATCGAAGTCGATCCCCGTCGGCACCACTTCGTTAATCGTTATTGTAATCCCGTTATTCAGAGATATTTGTGAGATTAAGCTCGAACTTCACAATGTCAACATATGTGTAAATAGGCTTAGACTAATATTTTCATGATGTGGAGTTTGAGTTTAAACTCGAGATTGTCTTTGAAGGACTATGTTCAACAACTGAATTTTGATAGGCTGTACTAAATGAATAAATGAAAACTTTGTAGAAAACTCACCTTCATCCAGACAGCGGCACTCCTTGAAACAAAACAAAGTATTTAATTTTTAATAAGTTTATCTGGGCTAAAATATTAGTAGCTTGCAAGAGCTTTGGCGCCAATTCAAAGATGTAACCATTGGCCTTTCGCAGCGTAGGTAACAAGACCTTATCGAAAATATACCACTTCATGCTATATCATCATCATCATCAATAGGCCCTAAGCTCCACACAAGTCCCCTGCTGAACATTGGCCTCCCCCAAGGAATGCCACAAAACACGATTCTGAGCCACCTGCACTCATCGACTTCTTTTGTAATGGTATATAAAGCTTATTTTGGAGAAAGCATGATTTAACCTTTTTATTTTTTCATTACATGTAGTTTTTTTTAACTATAAATTTTTATTACATACTCAATAATCTTTACTACATGCTCGCCAGTGAAGGAAAACATAGTAATCTGCATGTCTGAGAAATAAGAAAAAAAATATTTCGAAGGCATGTGAAGTTCGCCAACACTCATTTTGGTAGCGCGGCGGACACTTTCTTGCCCCCCTCAGAAATGAGGGGGGGGGGGGCCTGTACCCAGCCTTTTAACTTTTGATTTTAACTCAATAAATCTTAATTGTGTTGATTGATGGCGAAAAATAATCCGAAAATGCCGGGCTCAATGGAAATCATTGGAAATTGGAAATGGCCGGGCTCAATTCTCACGGAGTAGTGACAGGGGCATCATTTAGTTTATTAGTGATAGATTCTCTATTATTGTCTCATCGCTCATCACTCCGCCTTAATAAGTATAGGCAACACTACAAATTTTCATGACCCCTAGGTACATTTTTAAAAAGCTAGCAACATACCGTGGTAGAGCCATGCTGCATCTATATTAGTTGTATAGTTGTAGCACGAATGGGTCGGCTGGACAAAAGGACCACGCTCTCACAGAATACCAGCGTAAAATAGCAGCTTAACACTGCTGTGTTTCGTATGGTGAGTGTAGAGAATCAGATACCCTTTTTAATGGAAAAGAGGCATTCCATCTTAGTCCGCACGGGTGACAACGCATTTGCATTTTGATTCGCAAACGAGGATAGATGTAGAGGTCTATGGGTCACAGCAGCCACTTACCGTCAGGTGGACTGTGCTCGTTTGTCACCCTATCTTATAAGAAAAAAAGTTGAAGATGATTGGAAAAAATGGTAAAGATATTACTGAGTGATTCCCGCAAATTACATCCTATTTTAAAAACGATAAGCTTACTGAGCTGATAATGATGCTACGCTTTTCTTGCGACTTTGATTGCTTGCTTTTCTTTGGTGGTATCTTTGGTGAGCAAGGTGTGTCAAACCCGCCTGTGAAATAAAAAAAGAAGTTAAAGTCTGCTTTCGTTACGAAATTTATAAATTTATTTCCTTTTAGGTTCAGGGTTCCGTTTTCATACGCAGTGTCCTTATAATTTTTTTCTATGTTACATCATTATAACTTCCAAAGTATTTTGAACGAGAAAAAAAATTAGTAGGTACATACATTCTGTCGATAGATTTATAACTTAAACTGTAAAGATTCCCTTAGAGAAAAAATTAAAGAAATAAACATTTTTATTTGGCATCTATTATTATTATGTTTAAAAAAAGTTCCGCTGTGTTTCTTGCTGATTCTTCCCAGGACAGACGTATTTTCTGAACCAGTGGTAAATAAAAAAATGATTTTCAATAAGTATTATGTAATAATCAATATTGAATAAAAAATCATTCTATTCTATTCATAGAAGCTCTGAGCCTGTACCGAGCGGTGGTTTAAATTTAATAAATTAAATGTAATTCTTACCAGTACCGGCGCCTGTATCTCTCTCTGGGCATACTTTATACATCTGGAAAAATATATTCCATCATGTTTTGTATTATAATAAAAATTGGGCATGTTAGATTGGTATTATAGAAAGGAAGAATTCTTTGGACAACATTTTAACATCACTTTTTGATTTTGACAAGAATGTCACAACCCATAAGGTGTGGCATTCTTTATCATCATCACCATCAGTCCGTGTATAGTCCACTGATGGACGTTGGTCTTTCTAACTAGACTTCTAGGTTGATGAAAAATTAACTAGAATTAGGTTTGAACAACTTGATTTGCCATCTACCACGCTTGACAAACAAGTTAGAGGTGTCGATGACGTAGATTACAGTTTTGTAGTCTTATTTATTACATTGTTCTTCATCGGTGCGCAAGAGTCCACTGCTGGATATAGCCTCTCTTGTCGTAGGCAGGACTTGGTATAATCGTCATGCTTGGCGGGTGTATTGTGGATCGGAATACCAGACGTTTTGCACTTTTGACGCTGCTCTCTTATACTTTTTTTAATCGTTAGTGTTATTATAAAAACGTTACTGGCTTGAAGTTTAAATGATAATTTTTGTTATTTTTACGTGGCAGAGCCATGCTACAGCTATATTATGGTTGTAGCACGAATAGGTCGGCTCTACCGGGGTAAAATAGCAGCTTAATGCTGCTGTGTTTCGTATGGTGAGTGTAGAGGGCCGGAGATCCTTTTTACTGGAAACTAGGTATTCCATCTTAGTCCTCAGGTGCGACAAGTCATCTGCATTTTGATTCTTAATCGAGGATGATTGTAGATTTCTCGGCACCCGTTTATGATAAGGTGGACTGTGTGCTCGTTTGTTACATTTATTCTATAAAAATGAAATAAATAATATCGGTTCTCGAAGACCGACGTCACGTAAGTTTTTCAAGTGAATGAGCCCGCTTTTTAGAAACATTTTAAAATTGCTTTTGAAAACGGTTACATAATCATTGAGAACGTGTACCGTGTAGTGACCCACTACCTCATATCGTCCCATGGGTACCCATAACGGTTCGACAGAGGAAAACAAATCAGGGGTAGGCAGCAGTCTTCCTAATAACAACTAAAAATTTATAAATAAGTGGTTGACAACCCACTTGCCAAGCGCGCCAACCATGGTAAATATCCCTCTTATGGGACAATCTATGGGCGAGGCCAATGTACAGCAGTAGAATTTTGATAGGCTGTATCGGTAACCGTATGTTCATGCAGTATTATGCCTGTCAATGTATTTATTCCTAGATCAAAAACAAAAGTGGTCTTTAAAAACAGACCGCTAACGAACTAACTCTCATAATCTATTCATGCCGGAAGTAACGCTTATGGGATAATATTGGAAGTAAACTCGCGTCAACCATGGTAAATATCTCTCTTATGAGACAATCTATGAGAGAGGCTAATGTTCAGCAGTATAATTTTGATAGGCTGTATCGGTAACCGTATGTTCATGCAGTATTATGCCTGTCAATGTATTTATTTCTAGATCAAGAACAAAAGTGGTCTTTAAAAACAGACCGCTAACGAATTAACTCTCATAATCTATTCATGCCAGATGTAATGTTTATGCGATAATATTTGGAAGTAAACTATTATGTATTGTCATATCCGAGGGTACAATAACAACACGCGGTAGGATTTGAATCTAGGAGCTGTGGCGATATTTGAGTTCGAAGTCGCTTACTCACCATGTTTAACAGCATGAGATTGTAATAAATATATAAAGATATAGAATATAAATGCAACCTTGCCGTCTTCTCCAGCTGCCAGACCAGAAGATAGTGGTAAAACGTCAGGGCCCCATTGCTTGATGAAGTGTCCAACGCGCGCCACGCGTTGAGCCGGAGTCGTCACCGTGTGGGATCCGCCGCAGTAGCGATTGCATAGATGCTTATCGTTTTCCGACCTATGTATTTGAATGATATTAACAAATGAGTTTTATCTGAAACGACGTGGTCGGTGGTCAAGGAAAATATCGTAGGGAAACCTGCATATTCGTTAAAAGCCGTCGATTCCCACTGTAGTAGGGCAGTGATGCCCCTGTTATATTGTCCAGTTCTAGACCCTTCTTAATGATGGGGGAGTCCTTTGGCCAGCGGCCAGCAAGATGTACTTATGTGTATTTAAAATTCAGGTAACATTTATTAGCCCTCGTAAACATCTCAATGACAGAATGAAATGAATTAGCGGGAGAATTAGATGCTTCAAGATATAATATTAAATGTTTGGTTAAATATAATATAATAAAAATCTGCAATATGCTTTGAAGGAGATTTGGTAATTTTAGTACTGGAGCTTCAGTAATCACACGCATCTCACCGGTTTGATGGTTTTAACAGACTTCAAAAGGAGAGCGTTGTTAATTCTATAAATATTTTTAATTTATGTAAAAATTATGCTTTAAATTATTAGTGCAATTTAATTCTTTTATATAATTTTTTTAAGTTAACAAAAACTTTAACCAGATTCGATCATAATTGAAGTTGGTTTAAAGTTGGTAAAAGTGAAATGGGTTAACACTTAATTTAGAAAAAGAACATTTTAAAATGTATCGTAATAAAATTTGATACAATGTTTTGTATCATATTGCCGTGTTTATCTGTTATGTACATCGTATAGATGATATACAATCAGTGACAAAAAATGTCCTTACCGAATAAGCGCCCACTCGAACATTTGGGTGCGCTTTTAATTTGTACCTAGCTTTGTGAATACAATTTTAGACAATATATTTAAGGTTGAATTTCCATTAATGTATATTTATTTCAACTAGAATTACGTCAAGACAGTTTTTAGAGAACTTTTGCATAGGATTGTGTATCTAGTTTTTTATTAGTGATCGATAATTATGTAAAATAAAATCATGTTTACTATTCGTTAAATTATATGAGCTTGTGAATTACCGTAAATTTCATACTTGTCACTGGTGTCGGTCGTATATTTATTTAGGTATACTTACAACAACTTCTCATTTGTTTGCTAGTTTTTTTTTTTGGTGTCGTAATGGAGTCTTACAGTAGTACTTTTGCCAATGTCAATAGGAAATTTTCCCTTAATAATTAAAATAGTACTTGTTTCGTCGTTTCCGTCCTAATAGTTCACATACGCAGAAACTTTGTACACAAAATCGCATCACTTATACGTATCAAAATCCACTTCAAACTATTATTCAAACGAGAAAACAGGAGCAACAATCCCCGATGGTCAAGTTCTCGTAAAATTCTTTTGCTAGTTATTGTGATAGGTCCGATATACAATTCCACATTTCAACGATTTGTAGTTCATAGCAATTCTGAATTATTCCGATTTTACTGGCTTAAAAGGATGAGTAAGTATGGCACTTGTTCCACCGCCAACAGTGAACGAGAAGCGAGTAGATATAGAAACTAGATAAGAGTTGGCGAGCAGCGTGTAGCGAGAAGCGACAGCGAGAAGCGAGTGTGTAGTTCCGATAGTTTTGTCGCTGGACTACAAACGATTGCACTCAGATCCGCACTGTAGTGTGAAATAACCGCTGGTTGGTCTCTGGGCGACCGCCAAGCGAGCATCGCTGAGCGTTTATCTATAATAGCATAATAGCTCTTGTCGCTGCAACAAACTAGTGGAGATAGAGTTCTCGCCAGCACAGTGTGAACCGCCAGCGATCAACTATTACCATAATATGCATCTCTTTTATTGACGCGGGATCTATACGTAGATATTGTTCGTTTCTTAAGCGTGAAAACAGTCAATAGCTAATCGCTTCCTCGTCGTCGACGGGACAAGTGCCTATGGCACCTGGGGCACACTGCTACCAAACGACACAAAAATAAACATTTCCTTTTTTTTTTTAAAAGATTTTTATAGTTCACTTCATTACTGCACATGGGCCTTTCTCGTTGCGTGAAAGATTATATTTTTTTATCGTACTTCTGTACTATGTTTAATGTTTTGTTTTTTAGTAAATACTTAATGTGTACTAATATGAAATATATTTTTAAGCTTACCTGACTTTTTGCGGCAGTTTGGATGGTGTTACCTGTCTCTCAATATGCTCCCAATCGTGAAGATTGCGCTGTGGCAGGTTGCTAGCTTGAGCTTTGCGTATTGCATCTATTAAATTTTGTAAAGTATAATTGTACATTTTTCGTTGTGTGAGTCATATATCAATCCACTACCCACTATCATGATGTGTGTCGTAAAGGTCGATAAAGGTAAATTAAACCAGGAGATGGATAGTATTAGTCTAAGTATAGTATTAGGCAAGAACTGGCTTATAATAGTAAAAAAAAAAACAACAATTTGTACTTTTGCACAGATAATCACTCCGACTTAACTTCTAACCTAATTATGTACCTACTTAATATTTTTTTTTTCATTCATTCTATCAAAATTCTATTGCGGTACATGTAGATTGCCTCATATGTTGAATGTTTCATAATTGCCACGCTAGGGTTAACAACTGCAGTTTTTTAAATTATTTTAGTTGTTAACAGTAAGTTGTTGCTACCAATCACACGTTTCTTTCACCCTGGTTGCCTTACGATACTCACGTAATATGTATTCTGTTACATCGCCTCTACACGACGCTGTGGTTCTGTATATTTAGAAGTAATGAGCAAACATACCTAATTCGTAGCTGAGGTAAGGCTTCATAGATAGATTGGCGGGTAAAGGCTTGTTGGTTGGCACCGCTGCGTCTGCTTCCATTGACATGACAGCCTTAGCGTCGCAAGATATGCAGTTCACGTCCCTATAAAATATATATTTCATAATATTTTTTATAGGATAAGGTGACAAACGAGCACACAGTCCGCCTGATAGTAAGTGGTTGCTGTGGCCCAAAGACATCAATACTCGTTTGCGAATCAAAATGCAAATGCGTTGTCACCCGTGAGGACTAAGATGGAATGCCTCTTTTCCATTAAAAAGGGTATCTGATTCTCTACACTCACCATATGAAACACAGCAGTGTTAAGCTGCTATTTTACGCTGGTATTCTGTGAGAGCGTGGTCCGTCCACTATGGTTCTACCACGTTTAAACACCTGAATACATGAAAAGATCGAATCACTCTTTATTAAAGATGGTGTATATTTTCTTGATGTTATTACCTAACATGTATTGACATAGCGTTATCTCATTTACATGGACCGTGATAGTCCAACAGAAAAGCGTTTCCCTTAAAATAAGTATAACACGCAAGCACCCCGCCGGCACCAATAAAATTATTAATTGCAACGGAATCACGAAACCGAATTCCGTATGTATGTGGCCGACCTTAGAGGTGAGAATAGATGTTATTTCATTTATAGAGGTGTGATTATTAAATTAAATAAAGTCTAGAAGGCAAGAGTGAATAGGCTTTTGTTACGCTAAGACAGTGCGATTTACCATCTAGGGCTGCATCACCACTTACCACTATATATATTACCATTTATATTATTTCATGTATTACTTAGTTATTTATATTTTTTTTTCTCATTTATTATTTGTATATTTATATTGCACCACCTACCACCTACCTATTCATTGTTTGTATTACTTTACACCTTTGGTTGCCTGGAAGAGATCGCTATGTAGCGATAAGGCCGCCAAATTGTACATATTATAATCAGATTTTTGTTATGACATTTGTATATTTGTTCGTGGTGTACAATAAAAGTATATTCATTCATTCATTCATTCATACCACTAGGTGGGATTGTGGTCAAGTACTGGCTTATAATAATTAAAAAAAAACAATATTCAATATACATATCTTTATTATTTAACAATCTAAAAAGCATAAACGGATATTAACTTGAGTTTTTTACGTACTGATAAAGACTTCAGCCTTCGCTTCGGTATTTTAATTCCATACGATCGCAAAACCAACCTAAAACTGGTGGTCACTTTTACACTATTAGCCAAGTGCGGAATTTGCGGATAGAATAAGAATTAATAAACAAAACTGTACACCAAATATAGTCTCAGTAAAATAGGTAAAATACGCTCGTTGTCTCAATTATACAGGTAATTATGACGATGAAATCGAAAGAAATAATTCCAGATATAGAAGGTTTGTTTTGTCCCACTAACAGAGGTAATTCAGTGCTTAAGTGTCGGGACCTAAGCATGAGTTTCAGCTATGAACGTTTGTCACTTATCCAGGTCTCACTTAATCAAGTTTTACTGTATAGTAATCACAAACATGGTAGTCACGTTACAGCTATATCATGGTTGTAGCACGAATGGGTCGGTCCGAGCAGGGAAGGACGACGATATCACAGAACACTAGCGTAAAATAGCAGTTTACTGCTGTTGTTTTGTATGGTGAGTGTAGGGAACACGACAGCGGGCACCCTTTTTTACGGGAAACGAGGCAGATCTTAGTCCTCTGCGTTTTAGTTCTTAATCGAGAATAGATGTAGATGTTTATGGGCTACTACATTCACTTACCTTTAGGTGGACTTAAAATATATAAAATATAAAAAGATATAAGAAAACATAATTAAAAGATATAAAATTAAACTGTTAAAGATGTTATATGATACCTCAATAGTTTCTTCTTCGTTCCAGCCGCTTCAACTTCACGACGTAATGAAGCTATCTGCTTCAGATTTTCTTGCAGTTGTTTTAACTTGCTATTGAAAAAGTCCTTTACGGGACATAGCTCGATTTTATCAAGTTTCGTTTCGATTTCGCGTTGAATATCGTCCAAAGCTTGTTGCCACAGAGCTTCCTAATAATATATATTTGTTAAGGAAATACAAATACAAAAAATTAAATGAAATAATATTTAATAACTTAACAATAATTGTACATACTCCGATGCAGTTTAAATTAAACGTAGTTATAAACTCCTTGGTTTAAATTTCTGTTGATTTTTTGTGGGACATAACTGTATTATTACTACGAAAATAACATTATTTAATAGTGGTAATCAACAGCACAGAACTCTTTTAAGAGAGGATAATTTTTAGATAGGTATTTATTATTTATTTATTTAGTTAATCTTTATTGAACCTTACAAACAGTACAGGATCAAAAGGCGGACTTAATGCTAAAAGTATTTTCTGCCAGCATTATTCTATTATGTGAATATTTATAATTCATATATAATAATTTTGGTAATATGCTAACAAAACTTCTGTTTCCTTTTGTTTCGTGTTAATTTTTTAAAATTAATCATCGTGGTTTTTAAAATGTATTTTTCCGATGTCTTTAATTTTTTTATTCAGTTTCAATTTAAAATGATAATATGATCGTGTAGTGATGAGAGTGTCCCAAAAGGCAACTATGGAAAATACCATACTTCCTGATTTCCTATAGATTGCGTTACATCCAGTTTGTTTACGCAAAACGCAAAATAATCAGAGTGACAATGGGGAGCAGCACTGAAGGTACAAGACGTTCGGTTCTGCATTCGGTAATCCGCCTGGCTAGTGTGGTGATGAGCAAATCCATAACCGCAGCGAGAGAGACCCACTTCCAAGAAGAAGCATAATTAAATACCTGCATGTCAAGTTTTCCAAGTGCATGTTTCAGTCCTCTGGACAAATCGTCACAGGCCAACTCGAACTGATCATGCGACACTTTCCGTGCCAGCATATGAACATCAGCCTTCTCAGCTATTGCCTCTGCAATATCTTCGCGGTCGAGTTTGATAATTTTTAATATTTCGATTTGCTCTATAATTGCCTGTGAAAAATCGTAATTAAAGTTAACGAGATAAAGGGTACGGTGTGTAATTCGGTCTGCCTTCACTGTCAACTTCCTAATTGATGATTTACGAGTTCCGAGTATTGTTAGTTCGATATTTTAGTTTTAAAAACTACAGAATTGATTATAACGAAAACTTAACATTGCAATTAAGCTCTAAATGAAATGGGTTTCGAAGCGAAACACACGCACGTGAACAAGCGGATATCAGAAGTATAATTTTGATTACTTCAATTATATTGGACTTTATGGAACTTAAAACTAATTATTTTAAGAGGCCGCATAATGCTGTTTTGGTGATATTGATCAATCTGGATCTCGGTATCTGTAAGACCTAACAGTTTGCTATTTGGACACATTAAACTTGAACTTATAATCTTCAAATCTGTTGAAGCAAAAACACGATTCGATAAAAAATTCTCGATAAAAAAAATATATGAAAAAACCTCGTTTTGCACTTATTTTTAGTTAGATCTCTGAAACCTTATGGAATTGAATGATGATTTTTAAGCTAAAAGATAGATAATAATATTATCTCAAATCGTGACGATTTATTTTTTTATTTTTCTACGTGGTATTCTCGTAATTAGCAATTATGTGATTTGGCGCTTGCGTTATTTAATTCTAAACGAGCACACTCTCTTTCTGTCTCTTGTTTTGTACGTGGTAGCAATAGCGCTATCCTTTTCAATTTGTTCAATCATTCTGCTGCGGCATCTATTACGGGACGAACCTATGTTTGGCGACATTACGGAGAGACGACTATTTATTTCCGACATTTTTATTTTGTATTGTGGTAGGTGTTACTGTAAAAAGGAGTTTAAAACGTTTTGTGTAAATATATTACCTATATTTAAAGTGTAAATAAAGATGGGCAAAAAGAAAACTCTCGGAAAAAGAAAACAATTAAAACGTCTAAGAGAACAACTCCGTATTTTGAACGAAGGAAAAAAAAAGTAAGTACCTATCTAACTACCGATATAAATAACGGTATCAATTTAATTTTCATTTTTAATTTTTTTTTCTTAAAAAAACGTTACCCCCACTCTAGGATTTTCTCCTGCATCGTGGAGGCAGTTTACAAACATAAATTGCACGAGGACAAGCACCCTGACCCGGAACAATTATTTGTAGGCCATACAAATACTTGTTCCCTGCGGGATTCGAACCCGCGGCCCCCAGCGCAACAACTCATTGCTAAGCCACTGCACTACGGAGGCCGTCAAATTATTCTTTTGTTTACGTAGCTTCTTAGGTATTTCGAATATGTATAGAGTCGAACACGAAGGATCGGTTTGCGAATCATTTTTCGAGTTTCAACCTTATTGCAACGAGATAAAGCTCATGTCTAGTGTCACGTCACGTTGCTGCTGGCTGTTGATAAAGTTTAAATTCGTTTGATGTGTTGCAAAAACGTTTTGTAATTTTATTGTTACATAAGTTTGTTTATGTTTATATAAGATCAATCGGGGTGTTATGATAGGTACCACTCGTAGTTTCTGATACCCACGATACAGGGAATAGGTATCACTGTGGGGTCAGGGATAGGTTTTGAATGTTGTGGGTTATGTTATGTTACTTTGACTGCCTTATTGGTCTAGTGGTTGTAGTAGTGCGACTGCTGATCATGAGGTCTTGGGTTCGAATCCCGGGTCGGGCCAAAATTTTTTTTTGTAAATAAGTTGAAACTTATAAAAGATCAAACTACGGGTGGTACCTATCATAATACATCGGGTATTATGATAGGTACCACCCGTAGTTTCTGATACCGTCAAGAAATTCTCAGTAGCTGCCCGGAGTCAGGAAGTTGGCGGTGGCCCACCTCCTTGTCTCGGAATGCACGTAAAGCCGTTGGTCCTGCGCCTGATCTCTCTCCGGTTGTGTCGGTTTACCGTCTCATCGGATTATGAGGGTGAGGGAATAGAGAGTGCACCTATGCTTGCGCATACATTTGCGCACTATAATGCTATCCTGCGTCGATGGCTAGTCTCCGTTGAGGCAGGCCGCCGTGACCGAAATTTGGTCTGGAGAACAGTATGTTACTTTATTTTATTATGACTATACATTTGCAGAAAACCAAACATTTCATTCATTGAGCTTGAGAATGTGACGAATAAAACGGTGCCCACGGTATTAGAGAATGAACTGCACGAAGGCGGATCGGCACGCGGCGCGAGCGACATGAGCGGCGCGCCGGCGGTGCCCGCGTCGTTGTCGGCTGCGGCGGCTGGGCATTTGGAACAGGGAAAAGGGGACTCGTCGCTATCTATTGACAGTACGGACAAGTAAGTATTTACATAAATAAATACATATAAAATAAATAAGTAAGTAAATTTTGAATCCCTGTTAGTATTTCTTTCTCTAACTGCCTCGTTGGTCTTGCGGTCGCAAACGCTACTGCTGAGCGAGAAGTCCTGGGTCGGCCAAAATGGTATTGGGTTTTTCCATTAGTAATTTCTCAGTACCAGTCCGGAGTCTGGATTTGTGCTCGATTAGTGGCAATAGGCTCGCACTTTATTACATGAGACTTATAACATAAATGGCGAAATGTGGGTGCACTATGCACCTCTACCTACCCTTTCGGGGAATAATGGCGTAATGCTATGTATGTATATATATGTATGTAAATTTTAATGAAACATGGTTCAATCTTTTCAACCATGTTTCATTATTGGAATGAAAATTTTACAATGCTATAAGTACTCGTATCCTACCTAAATGCGAAGACTTGGTTTATGAGAATCTAAGGTAGACCTAATACAAATGAATGCATCGATTATATTGTACTCGTATTTTTACTGACTTCAAAAATGAGTAGGATATTCTCGATCCGACGTTTTTAGGGTTGTGTACCAAAATGGTAAAAAAGGAACCCCTATGGTGTGACTTTGTCTGTCCTGTCTGTCACAGCCGTATATTTCAGAAACTACTAATGTTATCGACTTGAAATTTGGAGCAGTTATATACAAAATGCAAAAGTTCAAAAATATTTTTATTTTCACTGCAAAAGGCACCGAAGAGGGGGTTTGGAATTTTAAAAAGTTACTAGGTATAGTATTTAGCGTATAACACAGAAATCTAAATAATAGTGCCTTATTATTTAGATTTCTGTGGCGTATAATATGTAGTGTGAGTGACATTAGACGAACTGTACCTTTTCACTAATATATCCATAAATATCGGTTGTCCTTTGAATATGTTTTTTTAAATGTTTTATATGAAATACATATTTCAAAATAAATTTAATAATATTATGATAATAATATCATACATATATTTTAAATTATAATAAAGAAAACAAGATTTTTGATGTAGATTTGTATTTGTGTAGATGATGTAAATTTAATTGTGTAATGTCTCTGTCCTAGTCTGTCCTGATACTGTAATCTGACATCTGTCCCCGCACCATGTAGCGCTGTAGCTAGCAGTGTAGGTAAAGTGACATATTATATGAAAGGTATTTGGACATGGGAACGTATCGGAGCTATTCAAAGTTAAAAAAAAATGCATGAATGTTTTGAAAAATACTATTGTTTCAAAACATTCATGCATTATTATTATTGTCTGCTTTATAGTTTATGTAATAATATGTATTACTGTTGTAGGTTTCCAGACGAAGAGCACACGTCAGATAGAAATAATGCAGAAATCAATGAAGAATCAGACGAAAGAAGAATCATAGACCTTAAATATTTTCTAAAAGAATTAAAAACAATTTCGAACCACTCAACAGCCTTCGGTTGCGGTATAAATAATTTGGACTTGATAGGGGAGAAAAGGTTTGGTTTGATTTCAAAATTAAAATTCAAATGCAATATGTGTAATGTTGAATTTACTACACATACGTCCAAACCTAGTCCAAGCGACAATTTGAATGTAAATACTGCCGTAGTAACGAGTGCAGCTATTACAGGTGTAGGATATACACAATTGCAAGAAATATTTACATCAATAAATGTTCCGTTTATGACAGAGGTTTTTTATAAGAAAATTGATAATCGAGTTAGTGAAGAATGGGAAAAGTTAGCCACAATTGAGATGGAAGCTGCGGCTGCTCGTGAGAAGCAAAGTGCATTGGACGAAGGCAGAGTCAATTCAGATGGAATCCCCGTCATAGACGTGATCGTTGATGGTTGCTGGGCTAAGAGGACCTACAAGAAAAACTATTCCTCGTTATCAGGCGCTGCAGCAATCATAGGTAAAAAGTTTGGGGAAGTGCTATATCTCGCCGTAAAAAATAAATATTGTTGCATATGTGTACGCGCCAAGAATAAACAAACTACACCATCAGAGCACATGTGTTTTAAAAATTACACTGGTTCATCTACAAACATGGAATCGGAAATATTAGTGGAAGGATTCAAACAATCTTTGCACATGTATGGTCTTATATACGGCAAAATGGTTGCTGATGGAGACGCTTCCACTTATTCTAAAATTTTAGCAGCCCGGCCATATCCTAACTACACTGTTGAAAAGATAGAGTGTAGAAACCATTTATTACGAAACCTGTGTAATAAATTACAAGCGCTTACCAAAGATACCAAATATAAACTGCAGCATAGAAGGTATCTGAATACACAAAGAATCCTGGCTATCAGAAAAGTTATTTGTTCTTCAATAAAACACCTGAAGAAAACAAGTGATACCCGCTCAAAACAAATAAACGATCTTTATGTAGCAATTTCCAATTCATATAATCATGCTTTCGGTTGTCATACCAATTGCCAGAATTTTTATTGCGAAAGCAAAAAAACAAGTGAAGATGTCACTGTCAAACTGAAAGATACGGCGTTAGAAAATCAAATAAAGTTTATAGTCTGCTCTATTGCAGCTAATGCACGAAGTCTTATTGAAGACGTGGACAGCAATCGTTGTGAACAATTTAA